GCCAGCAGGGCCGGCTCGGGGCTGCGCGGGCACGAGGGGCGCGCGGGCACGGGCGGGCGCGTGGCCGCGGCGGGGGCGCGCGGGGGCGGGCCGGGAGGGGAGGGCGGCGCCGGCAGGTTGGCGGCGGCCGCTATTTGAGCGCCGGTCCCGGGCCGGGCGCTCAGAGCACTTCGAGTCCGCGCGGCGGTGAGATCGCGGCGCGCCGCCCGCAGAGGCGCTGCGGCCCGTGCAGCCCCGGAGGCCCCGCGCGAAGGAGGCGGAGGAGGCGGAGAGGCCGGATTGCCGCCCGCCGCCCGCGCCCCCCCCCCCCCCCCCCGCCCCCCCCCCTCCCCGCGGCGCCGCATCTTGAATGGAAACATGGCGGTGCCGGCTCGGACCTGCGGCGCCTCTCGGCCCGGCCCGGCGCCGACTGCGCTCCCCTGGCCCGGCCGCGGTCCCCGGCCCGGCCCCGGCGCCCGGCGCCCGCCGTCCGGGCCCCCGCGCCCGCTGTTGCTGCTGTTGCCGCCGCTGCTGCTGCTACCGCTGCTCGCCGCCCCCGGCGCCTCTGCCTACAGCTTCCCCCAGCAGCACACGTAAGTGGCCTCCCCGGCCGGCCGCGGAACCCCGGCCGAGCCCTGCGCGCCCCTCCGCCCCCCCCCCCCGGCCCGCGCCGGTCCCTCCCCGCGCCGGGGCGGGGGCGCTGGGTCCGGCTGCGGGCTGCGCCCCGGGGGTTGACGGCCCCAAGACCAGAGGACAGGCAGCCGCGGTCCCGGCGCTTTTGGCTGCGTCGCGAAACTTCCCCGCGGTGCCCCTTATCCCCCCCCAACCCCCAAACGGGGCAGAGCAAGATCTGCAAGCCTAGGGATGGGGTGGGGGGTTCCGAGTTTGTCATCTGATTCCCCTGCCGCTGTCCCGGTGAGAGGGGAACTTGAGGTTGGGTGAGGGGGCGGCCAGCGACCCCTGCCCGGCAGAGCTGGAGTCGCGCGTCTGCCCCACGTTTCGTCCCCAGTGGGAACCCGGCGCTTTTGAGCCAGAGGTGGGGGACATCTCCACGCCTGTCTTCATTGGCCTTTTCCTTTGACCGGAAGGGCTGGATGCGGAGGATGCAAGCACCTTCTTGTGACCAGTACCACAGAGGGGGTCAGTGTCCCTTGTTCTTGTCCCCTCACTCCACCTGAGGGGAGGGTCCCCTGGAGAGCCCAGCTGGGAGGTGAAGGTGCTGGGATGGAGGCAGAAAGTGAATGGCAGGGAGGACCCCTGCCTGCTTGTGCTGCTGCTGCTGGCATGCGAATGGCATCTCGTGGCCCTGCCGCTTCTGCTGGTTCTCATGGTCCTTTTGAGCCTTCTCTCCCTCCCCAAGAGCCCGCAAACTTGGGCATCCTCCTCTGGTGAGCTTGGCCAGATGTGTCTGGGGCTCGGAGTGGGTATTGGGTGCATGTGGCCTTTAGAACAGCAGCTATTTCTGTGGGCACCATGCCCCGGACTTATGTCAGTGCCCAGACACCACTCGCCCCTGTGGCTTTGGACCATGGTGACCACCTTGCTGTCTGTTATGTCTCCAGGTCTGTGGAGCCACCTGTCCCTGGAATCCTTCGCCAGTAGCCAGGCCTGGGGTTTGGGAAATGAGTAGATGGGCTGCTAGTGGCCAAGGGGAAGGTTCTGGCCTCAGGGAAGGGGAGAGGCTGACTCTGCGTCATTAGACCATTTCTGCCTCAAAACCTGCCGACTCCAGCTTGTAGCTTCTCCCAGATGAGGGCAAAACAAACTCGGAGAAGGCACCACTCTGAGTGTCTCCGTCTCGTCGGTTCTTTCCTCACACAGCCTGGCTGTGCTTAGGCGGGTGATCAGTTGGCAAATTACAGGTACCGCACGGACATGTCCTCTGTCAACCGTCTGGATTTTTCGTGTGTGCATTGGGGGGTGCGCCGGGAGAGGAGGATCATATGGAAGTTCAGGGCTTGTGGGTGCGTTATTGTCTTTCATTTGCCGTGATGAAAATGGACTTCAACCACAGTGTTTAAAAAAAGAGCAAAAGCATTGTTTTTTTGTTGTTCTTTTTTCCTCAAAGCCAAGCCACAGTATTTTTTCCTAGCCATTTCCTAGCTCCTTGAATGAAGGTTTAAATAGATGTCTCTTTTCACCTCTTCCCACCTCGCCCCCTCTCCTTGCAACCTGCAGTGGGCCAGATGGCTGTCGGGCCTGCCATGGGTCTCAATTGGAAGGACAGTGTGAGACCCTGACCAGAGTGGACACCTGTCACTCTGTCCCCAGCAAGAAGACGATGAGGCGGGTGTGATGGCAGCGGCACATTTCCAGCTGGACGCTCTTCTCTTGTCGATAGAGTTGGAGCTAATTTGAGGGTTTGGGACATGTCTCGCAAACCGTAATTAGAGAATGAGAGTGGGGGGTGGGATGGGGGCTGCGCGGCTCTGAGGGTCCAGGGGGAAGTGACTAATGTGACGACGACACACAGGGTTTACCGTGAAAGCCAGCGCCCTCCAGCTGCCCTGGTCCCGCAGATGTGCATGCCCGTTGATCCTTGGAAGGAGGACGGGGAGGGAATCGAGTGAGGGCCCCCGCATGACTGCAGCTAGCTGGAGCGGGGGCTTTTGCTGAACTCACATGAAAGGCTGAGGCGGCTGCAGTGGGGCTGCCTTGGGGTGGACGGCCTCCCTGAACTCTCCGGGGTCAGCGGCCAGGCTAGGACGAGACGCTGATACGGGTGGCTTTCTGAGATGCAAAGTGGGAGCCTCAGCATCATGGCACTGGGGTGACGGCCCCTCAGTGGAGAGGGCCCTAGGCGGCAAAGTCATTTCCTCAACCACGCCTGGCAGAGCGACGGGGCCCAGCTCTGCGAGCCACTGGGTTTTAAGCCAGTGTGGGTTTGGGGTCCGATGGCCTTTATTTCTGTCATCGCTGTGGCAGCGTGGCTCTCTGCCCATCAGGAGAGTGGACTGAGGCAGCCACTGGATCAAGGAGGGCAGAGGAGTTGCAGCTGGAGTGGGGTCAGGGCTTTGGTTTTGGCGGCAGAGGGTGGGGGGTACTCCCTCACCCCACTTGGACTGAGATCAGGGTTTCAAACAAGGAGGAGGCCACAGGAGCGAGTACATATGTGTGCACACGTGCACTCGTGTGTTTGGGGCTGAAGTTGGGGGAGAATGAGTCAGAGCACACTCTCCCTTTCCCCCGCCTCCCCGTTTCCAATTCGACTCACTCCAGCCATGGCCGTGGCTGTGGCCGTGAATAGCGAATGGCCACCACTGCCTGCCGAGGGCAACCGCTTTGCCTCTCCCTGCGTTCTTTCTCCCATCTGTCCCCAGCCCCTCCCCTGCCCCCTCCTTGGGTCCCCCAGGCCCATTCCATCCCTCTTATTGCTCTGGGCCCACCCTGCCCGCCTCTTTTGTGGGACCTCTGTCCCCTGTTCTCCAGAGTCCCCAGGTTTCTCTGTCCCCTGCTCTGTGGGGCCCTGGCTGAGTGCTAGGTGGAGTGCCAGGCTGAGCTGCGTGGCTGGCCGCACCCTCTTACCCCCACTCTGCCCCAGTGAGGGTGCTGGCCAGCACCTCCCTTCCTCTGGCAGGGCGGGTGGGGAGCTGAGAGCAGCCTGAGGGGTCTGAACCCACCCAGCAGATTAATGACAGCTGGAGTACGTGCTCCTTTTCCTGAGTGCCCACGACGGGGCATGCGTCAGTCTAGCTACGGTTAATGGTGGGTGACGTGTGTCTGTCTGGGCCTCTGAGCCCGCACCTTCACCTCCCTGTGACTCTCCCTGTTAGAGGGAGGCAACATCACACATCTGGGTCCCCCCCATCTCCCCAATGACCTGCTGCAGCTTTTGCAGGAGGGATGGGGTGAGGCTTCACAGCCTGCTGCCCCCACCACTGGCATGCAGAGCTGCCAAGTGCTCACGTCCCTCCTGGTGTGGAGGACTTGGGGAGCCCCTTGGCTGCTGTCCCCCCTGTGCCCCACCCATATTGGGCACCTTCTCCTGGCCAGCTCTGTCAGACTAACCCCTGAGAGGGTGGGGGAGCTGGTTTAAGATTGCATCCCCTCATGATCTGTGGGCGAGTCTCACATTGGATTTTCAGTCACACTGGTGTCCCCAAGGAGAGACTGACTCACAAGTGGGGTGAGCACTTCTACGCTCGATGCCTCCTTTTCCCTTCCGCCTGTATGCAGGTGGGCACTGCCAGCTCATGGCACCTTAGATGTGGATGGGTGGACCCTGCCAGCTCCTGGGAGGAGGCAGTTGGTGGACATGCTGGGTGTCAGGCATGTAGGCCTAACAGGCTCAAGTGTTGGCCTCCAGAGCTGACCCTCTTGTTGCGATGATCTTGCTTCAGTTTCCCCAACTGAGATCATAGAATCTGCTTAAGAGGCTGGTGGTGAGAATTCCTGTGAGGGGAATGTAGCCTCTGGTGGGCAGGGAGGGTTCCATGGGTGGGCAGCGCAGCAGCTATTGTAAACATTAGCATCCGGCCCTAAGGCTGCAACCTGACAGGCCCCTACCCACCAGTCTTTGCCCCCTGCTCCCACGGGCTGAGCGCCTTCCTCTCTCCGCTTTGCTGATGCTGTCCCCTCATCACTGCCTCAGGGGTTTAAGTACCTCTTTCAAGGTCCTATACCCACACCGTCTGGAGGCCTCTGGGTTGTGCCCCTAGCTCAGACTGTACCCACCCACATGGGATATCACCTCCTAGAGGACAGACACTGGACCACCTCCCTCCCTCACTCCCTGAAGCCCACCCAGCTTGACTGTGGTGGGGAACATCACCAGGCTAATGGTGGGTCTTCTCTTAATGAGCTCAGGCCAGGCCCTTACCACATTACGGCCTTGACCACAGAACCTGTGCTCATGCCCATCCCACAGATGAGGAGGCTGAGACTTGGAAAGATGCAGACCCTCCCCAAAGCCCCACAACTTCTGGAGGCAGGCCTGGAAGAGGACTGATCTTTTCGATGCTTAGCTGCCCTGCCAGGAGCCTGGGCACATCTGAGCATTGGGCCCAGGAAGTTGGGGGTGGGGACTCAAAACCTGGGTCTTTGGATGAAAATGAACAGGCCTAAGACCTGTGAGGCACACTTAGGCCTTCCAGCTGTAACCCTTCCTGCACTGTCCCTCTGCTCTCCTGGGTCTCAGGCAGCCTCGAGGGGGCTTTCTTCCTTGGCCCATTGCTGCCCTGCTAGCCCACTTCCATCCCCTTCCACATGTACACAGGTGATCATGGGGCCCCCGACTCAGATTTTCCTCTTCTCCAAGTCTTTGAGTCCTAAACCAGGCCTGCCTGGCCTGGAGAGGTGGGCAGGAGGGACTCCCATCTCAAGATGCCGAGATGCCATCTCCCGCTCCAGATTCCATATGATTCCAGAGAGAAGGGGCATGGGGGTAGTTAATGGAAACCTCTAGTCCCTTGGCAGTTTTGTCGGCCCCAAGGGGACTTCAGAGGACTCAGACCGTATAGACCTTAGAGGTTTCCATGCTGTAAGGACAGGTGTGACCTGGAGCTAGGGAACTATTCAAGGGCCAGCTGGAGGTTTGGGAGTCAAAGTCAGTAGGCCTGTGGCATGGGTCTGTCTGGCTGGTAGTGTCGTCTGT